GAATGACAGGGTGCGGGTCGCGGGTGTCTTGGGGGTGGGGTCAAGGGTCACCTAGGAGGGAGGAGTGGGCGCGGGTTCAGCCACCCCATCAGCTCCAGCCATTATTTGAGTTCGGTGAATGGATGTTGGCATCATAGGCAAGAGAAGCAGGGACCCGCCCAACCCTCACCAGATCCCCCAACCCTCACCCCCACCCACCATTCCACCAGGGCCCCTCAGACCTGGGGGTGGGATATCAGGGCCACGGGGGGGGGACAAGCAGGGGAAGAGCTGGGGAGGTGAGATGAGGGTGGAGGACAGTGAGGGGCGAGGCAGAGTGGGGCGCGGACTTGGACAGGGCCTCGAGCCTGCTCCTCCCAGGACTGGGTGGCACCCTGGGAGACCCCCAAGCTCCCTGGGCATCTCCTTGCCTGCCATTTTTCTTTCGGGTGTGTGTTTCTAAGGGAGTCTGTGGACGCTTCCGGTCACGGATGATCAGTTCCAGCACCCTCAGGATGTGACCTTGTTCCTCACACCCTCTTCCCTGGCCCACTCAGTCCCAGCTGCAGTGGCTGTTTCTTTAACACACACTTCAGCACCTCAGGACTTGGCTTGTTGCTTATTGTTTGTTTGTTTGTTTCCCCTTTTCCTCCATTTAGAGTTTGGCAGACTTTTACTGTACAGCACTAAACCTTTTTGGCTATAGAAACCATATGGTCTCAGTCACAATTACTCCACTGTGTTGTAGCTTAACGTGATTGTAACCCAATAAAAGTTTTATTTACAAAAACAGTTGGCCAGAAGCTTGAGCCCTGTTATCAACCTGTGCTCTAGACTATGCAGCTGTGATAGATGTTCCCTTTGCTCACAGACAGACCTCTATTGCCTGGGGCTGTGCCCTCCTTGCTTTGGGGCATGGTGACAACACATTTGTCATCTCAGCTACATGGCAAGCTAAGGCTGGAGGATTAAGTTGAGGTCAGCCTGGTCAACTTAGTGAGAACTTGTCTCAAAAAAAATGTTTTTAAAAGCTGTATGTGGTGGCACATGTCTGTACTTCCAGAACTTGGGAGGCTGAAGCAAGAAGACTGCCATGAGTTCGAAGCCCACCCATGCTACGTAGTGAGTTCAAGGCCAGCCTGAACTACATAGTGAGAACCTGTTTCAAAAATTAAAACCAAAAGAATTTAAAGGGCGGCATTGTAGCTCAACGGTATTTGTAGGTAGGTGCAAGGCCCTGGGTTCGATCCTCAGCACCACTGCGTGGGGCAGGATCACAGAGTACCCTAACTTCCAGCGCTGGGGAGGTGTGGCTTCGCTAAGGAGCTCTTCGCCCCTCCCATCCCCACAGCCCGGATGCAGCTTCTGCCTCTGGTCTCGTGGTCTCTGCCAGGACTTCACCTCAGCCTGACCTCACCTGGCTGCTACCCACCTCCCTGCCATGCGCAGCTTCCTCTCATCATGGGAAGGTGGCTTCCCTTCTCCATCCTGGGCACCGGAAGTTGTCCCTGACCCTCCCCAGCAGTCTGTGTGTTCCTCTTCCTCCATCCAAGCACAGTCCCCACACCCCCACGGGGCCGGGGTTTTCCGGGTGGAGCCCCATGGCCAGCTCCTGCCTAACAGCACCCAGCCCTGAGAAGTGCACGGTGCACACCCCACTTTCTCCTTGGAATGCAAATCCGGGGGAGGGGCAGGGAGAGATGGTGATGGAGATCAGTCTGAGGACTGGAGGTGGAGGGTGGGCGGGGTTAGTTCTGGGGGTTACTGGGGACCGGGTGAGTCGGAGAGCTGGGGGTCAGTGTCAGGAGGGGTGCAGCTGTTCACAGTGAGGGAAGAGTCTCGG